GAATTGGACGGGTTCTCATGCAAGAAGGCCATCCCATTGCATTTCATAGTGAGAAACTAAATGAAGCCAAGCAGAAATATTCAACTTACAACAAGGAGTTATATGCAGTAGTGCAAGTTCTACGACATTGGCAACACTACTTAATATCCAAGGAGCTTGTTCTCTATTCAGATCATGAAGCTTTAAAGCACTTGAATTCCCAAAAGAAACTAAACTATAGGCACGGGAAGTGGGTTCCATTCCTACAAGAATACACCTTCGTTCTTAAGCACCAAGCTGGAAATGAGAATATAGTGGCAGATGCGCTAAGTCGAATGGCTTATATACTTCATTCCATGAATGTCCAAGTCAAAGCAAGACTATGCTGATTGTAAGGATTTCAACATCATCTATACTGATTTACAAGCTGGGAAGCAGGATGAGTATCCTTCCTTTTCACTACATAATGGTTATTTGTTTTATGAAACCCGCTTATGTCTACCAAATACCTCTTTACGGGACTGTTATTTGGGAGTTACATGCTAGAGGTGTAGCAAGTCATTTTGGTAGAGATAAGACCATTGCTATGGTGGAAGATAGGTTTTATTGGCCTAATTTGAAGAATGATGTTGCTCGTATAATAAAGCAATGTAGGACATGCCAACTTGCCAAAGGACGAAAGCATAATACTGGGCTATATACACCCCTACCTATTCCTCATGAACCATGGCAAGATCTATCCATGGATTTTGTCCTTGGATTACCCAAGATTGCTAGGGGTCATGATACAATCTATGTTGTGGTGGATCGTTTCTCCAAGATGGCTCATTTCTTACCTTGCAACAAAACACATATTGCTACTATATTTTTCAAAGAAGTTGTTCGACTTCATGGAATACCTTCTACTATTGTTTCAGATTATGAGTTATTTTTGGAAGACACTTTGGAAACTACTCAATACTCAGCTGAAATTCTCTACATCGTTTCACCCCCAAACAAATGGTTAGACTGAGGTAGCTGAGTTTGCTTATAGCAGCTAGTTGGTGATCTTTTACGGTCTCTAGTTGGTGATTATACTTCTAGATGGGATCTAGTGCTTCCAATAGCTGAGTTTGCTTATAGCAGCTCAGTAAATAGATCCACAGGAAGAAGTCCATTTGAAGTGGTGATTGGTATTCAGCCTAAGTGGCCAATTGACTTAGTTACTTTACCACTAGATACACATGCTAGCATTGGGGCAAAAACATTTTATAGGCACATAAGAGAGGTACATGATGATTTTAGGAGAAAAATTGCATTGAGTAATGATTTATATAAGACTAGAGCTGATATTCATCGATGATTGGCAAATTATCAAGAGGGAGACATGGTTATGGTACGTATACACCAGAGCATCTTCCTAAAGGTGTGTACAAGATGCTCCACTCAAAGAGTGCTAGTCCTTACAAAATCATCAAGAAGATAAGTTCTAATGCCTATGATCTAGAGTTGCCAGATGACATGGGAATTAGTCCTATCTTCATTGTTGAGGATTTGACTCCTTACCATGGACATGTGGGTTCTTTTTAGACTCCTATATCTAAATTGCCAACTATTGCAGCTCCAAATGACATTCCAGGAGATGTTTTAGGTGAGGAAATAATATCTACTGCTACAAGAGGGTATCAGAAATTCCTTGTCAAATGGAAAGGCAGGCCTATGTCTGAGAGTTCTTGGATCACTGCTGAGGACTTTCGTCGTCTTAACCTAGATCTTTATGAAAGGTATTGGGATCGAGTTCTTTCGAGTTGGGGAGAGATGATAGGAATTGATGAGCACCCTTGAAGACTTGTTCTAGAAAGAAGAAGGCCTTACAACAGGTCCTGATATGGCATAGTGATGGTACTTGGGATTTGGACTGAATTAAACGCCAAGGGTATTTTTTCCATTTTATAATTTTATGTAGGGTCCAATAATAGGGTTTGATTGTCTAGCTATTATTTGTTTATATTTAAAATTTCAGAGTCATTGCTTAAGTAGGATTAGAATTATTGAGTCTTCTTTGAATTGAAATAGGATATAACAGCTTAGTTTGAGTCCTACTAGGATTATTGAGTCTAACAGTTTGACTCCTAGGATTTTTATGAGTTTAGAGTCTATAAATATGTATGGACGTTTTACACAAAAGCAATGAAGTTTATTAAGTTTTCTTCAGCTTATGCTAGCTATGGTGAGTGATTCCCATGCCCTAGAATGATGCTAGGCACTCTGTGAATGATTCCAAGTATTTTCTCTTTTATTTCTCTCCCTATTTGCTCTCTTATTCCTTCAAGAAGCCATTACAGCTATCAACAGCCATAAAACTCTGATCAAGACCATTCAACATTCTCCAAGGACTAGAACTGAGCTGGTCCTACATCAATTCATGTGGCCAACTCCATTTAGTTGGGATAAAGCTTCTATGATGATGATTGATTAAGACTTTATCACACCCTAACATCCTGAAAATATTTCATCCTTATTGTTTATCATTCTTTCCACTGTGTTATTGATTTACTTCTTTTTAAATGTTGTCTAGTACTCAATATCTGATTTTCCTCAATTGTTATTTTTTAAGAACAACTCTGAGTTGGCCTTCATCAAATCAGATAAATTCTAAAAAAATTCTGTATGTTATGCTTCTTCATTAAGAAATTGAGCTTATTTATCTTTTCTCTTGAGCCAAGGATAGCAGCCTTGCTAGAATGCACTTGCTCTCAGTGGCCTCTATCTTACTTAGGACTTCCATTAGGTGCAAATCCAAAGGAAAATAGGTTCTGGAAACCGGTGGTGGAAAAATTTGAAAAAAGATTAGTAGCTTGGAAGAGAAACTTATTTCCAAGGGGGGTAGAGTTACTTTGATTAAAGCAACTTTAGCCAACTTGCCTTTATACTTCCTGTCAGTCTTTAGAATTCCTAAGAGAGAGGCAACGAGGTTGGAAAAACTAATGAGGGATTTCTTATGGGAACCTGGTGAAGAGAAAAAAGATCACTTGATTAGGTGGGAGGTGGTGTGTCGGAGTAAGGAAGGAGGCCTAGGATTAGGAAACGTGGTGAGCAAGAATGAGGCTCTTTTAGGTAAGTGGCTTTGGAGGTGGCCCCTGGAGAGGGAGAGGTTGTGACATGAAGTAGTGAAAAGCATCCATGGCTGTTCCGAATCAGGTTGGGATGTGGGAGTATCCCGAAGGGCTTTGCTCACAACACCTTGGAAGGCTATCTCTAGCATTCTCCCTAAGTTCCTCAGTTTTGTAAGGTATGATGTTGGCTCTGGGAACTCCATTCTTTTTTGGGAAGATACTTGGGTGAGCTCTCAACCCCTAAAAGACCGTTTCCCTTCTCTCTATTCCATCTCCCTTTTTAAAAAGAAACCCATTTCTTAGTTCCTTCCCCCCCCCTGGTTTGCCCTTTGGCCTTAAATTGGGATCTCGGGTTTTGAAGAGGGTTAAGGGATGAAGAATTCCTTTGCGTTTCAGAGCTGTTGTTGCTTCTAGATTCGGTGTGTTTGGACCCCTCTAACCCGGACACAAGAGTCTGGTCCCTAACCCCGGTTGGCTCATTCACTTGCGCCTCTTTCTTTAAAGCCCTTTGCTCCAATCCCTCCTCTCAAGTCTTCCCCGTTAAAGAGGTATGGTCAAGACCTATTCCCCCCAAAATTGCAGTGGTCTGTTGGGAAGCCAATTATGGTAAGATCAATACTGCAGAAAACTTGCAAAAGAAGAAACCTTTTATGTGTTTGTCCCCTAATTGGTGCCCTCTGTGTAAAGTGAAGGGTGAGGACTGTAACCATTTGCTGATATCATGCTCCTTTGCTACCAATATTTGGAACTGGGTTGTTTCATTATTTGGGTGCAGGTGGAATTTGCCCTTTGAAGTAAAGTTGCTGTTCACTCCGGCTGCTTTTGGGAGATTGACAAAAAGAGGGAAGCTAATGTGGAAATGTATCAGAGCTTCTACATTGTGGACTGTATGGGAGGAGAGATGCTAAATATTTCAAGAACATGAAAGAAGTCTCGCTGAAATCAAGGAATGCATATTGACAAGGACTATTTCATGGTTAAAATCTTCACACTTGTTGGCAGATTACTCCTTCGATGACTTAAGGAGAAATTGGGCTGCAGTGGCTGCTACAGTTTCTACCAAGATCAAATCACAAGCTGAATGGATTCCCCCACTGGATGGTGTGGTAAAATTGAATTTTGATGGAAGCTGCCAAGGCAATCCAGGGCCATTGGGAATTGGTGAGATTCTGAGAGACAGACAGCAATATGTTATCTCTATTTTCAGGACCAGTGGGTGAAGGTGATTCGATAAGGGCAGAGCTACTAGCAGCGGTACAAGGTATACAGATGGCTAGTCAAAGTGGTGTGACAAATCTGCTAGTAGAAGGGGATTCCAAGGTGGTTGTAGTTTGGCTAATTAGGCCAGAAACAGCTTGTTGGGGCTACAGGGATCTGTTAAAGAAAGTTAAATGCATGACAAGGAATATGACTGTCAGGTTTCAGTGGGTTAGAAGAGCAGCAAATGCAATGGCTGATTCTCTGGCCAAGCAGGGGGTGTCAAGGGGAGATCTGTTTTGGGCTACTTTGTAATTGTGTCTCAGGCTTGGGCAGTTTTGGTGTATATGGTTCAGTCCTAGGGGGGTAACATCTCGTGCCTCCTCCTAGGCTGATTGTATTTTTGTTATTTGATTTAATAAAATTACTCTCATTTATCAAAAAAAAAAAAGGATGGAACTTGGTTGTTCTACAATTCCTGAAGAATTTAACCAGTTGTGGAAACTCCAATAAGCACTCCCATCTTCTTTTTAAATGTTAATGGAACTTACCCAGTTGTGGCATTGAATTTTAAGTTCTTAAAAACCTCATTTAAATGTTTAGTTCTGGAAAATGTATTTACTTGTAGTTAAATCCTTAGTTCTGCAGCAGTTTCCATGAGAAAAAGATATTATTTCTTGTAAACTGGTTATTAACCTCATTTTTTATATGGTGATCTGAAACTACCAGAATGGTCAATGGAAGCATCTATTTGTTGGGTTTGATAACACAATGTCCATTGGTTTAAGGGGCCCAACTAACCTTTTTGGGCATCCTACTGATCAACTACTTGCTGATATAGATATTGAGCTTTCACAATGGAATTCTGAATTAACAAAACAGTTAACAAAGATATCCTTTGGGCACTTTCCACTTTCATTCTCAGCATCCACAGATTCCAGCAAGAGTCTGAAAGATGTTTTTTTCAAGCACTCTCTATCAGCCTACCTATGTGGGCATCTTCATACAAGGTTTGGTAAGAATTTGAAGCGGCATCATTTGCCAGATGATCATTTCTTATCATCAGAGAAGTATTTCCAGCTAAATATCCACCAGACACCTAGAGGAACTAATGTGAACCATCTGAATTGTTCTATTGGAGCCCCACCAGTGGAAGAATTCTGGGAGTGGGAGATGGGTGATTGGAGAAAGAGTAGGGCCATGAGAGTGTTGGCCATTGATGCAGGTCATGTTTCATTTATCGATATTGACTTCAAGTTAGGAGCTAAAAAAACTATTATACTGCCCACATTTCCGCTAGATTCTCGCTTCATGCTCACAGCTTCATATCATCAAGAATATGGTTGTCACTCTATGGATCCCTCATCTTATGAAACCATTAGAGCTCTGGTGTTCTCAGTTCTTCCAATTGTGTCAGTTGTGGCAAGGATATATGACTCAAAGCCTGGATATCTCCAAATGATCATGGAGGCATCTATGAGAAAGAATGAGGAGAACTCCACCAGGGGAGATCTTTATATCATCCCATGGAATTGGAGAGCATTTGAGGACCTATCTCCTGATCGGTTTTGGCTACAAATAGAAGCAACTGATGCCACAGGTAGATCAACTTTAAGTGAGTTAAGACCATTTTCAGTTAATGGTCTCAGTGCAAAACTCAATTGGAAGTGGAAGGAATTTCTAGTGATGGGTTGTCAATGGGCTGCCTTGTATTACCCAATTCTCTGGTCTGCCTTCTTATTTATTTTCTCCATGCTACTTATTCTGACAGTTCTTTTCTTCTGTTCAAAGAATCAGTACACAAATAAGAATTTGAGTCTTAACAAGGGCTTCTTAACTTGTATGTTATTGTTTTTAACAGAGTCACATAAAGTCTTACAGGTATGTTTTGGCATGCTAGCTTACTTGTTCTACCTGATATTCTTTCCTTGGTGCTTCGGAAAAGTTTTCACTGAAGGTCAGGTTAGAGAATACATGACCTACAAGGGTTGGGTGGTGAATATCTCTAATGAGAGTGACAAACGCGTTTATGTTGGGTATCCAGATGTAATGGTGGTTGTCCTACCCCACCTCGTTTTTGTGGTCTTGCCTGCTATATTGGTTATAGGAGTATTGGCTGCTGAAAGAGGGGCTTTCAGGGTTCACTATCTGTTGCTTTCAGGGAAGAAAGAAGATGACTATGATCAGAAGAACAAGAAATCATCAATGTATGTTCACAAGGAAAATAAAAGATTGAAGTTGTTCCTTGGTGGGCGTTGGATAAGAAAACTTCTCTTGGTGGTGTGCTTGATTATTTATTGGAAACATTGGAGGGTAACTCTCTTGAATTTTCTTGGGTTTTATTTTTTACTCCTTTTCTCCCCTTCCCTGATGAGGTTCACAAGGTTGAATTCTTCTTTATTCTGATTCTTATTTATTTGCTTTTGTTAACAGCATTGTGAGGCTTTGATGAAGGCTTATGAAATGAACCCTTTCCTTCATTTCCCAGTATATTGCTTTTCAATTCCATTCTTATTGGGTTATGCTATTTACAAGACCATGGAAAGTTAGATATGGTAGCTGATTTCCTTATGAGGTAAGTTCGAACTCAGTTCACAAGTTCACATACAGTTCTTCCAAAGTAGTCTTGAAGCTCAGATAAAATATTAAAAGAACTAATGGAACAGAGGAATAAAAGGAACTTTTTTGTGTGGGCAATTCCTATGAAACCAGAAATATATGATACCTGGAAAATTTTAACCAATAAAAAAGTCCATGTCAGTTTGAATGAATACCACTTTCAATTACCAACTGGATGGTACTGGTTGATTGGTCATCAGTTTTTCAGGTTCTTTTATGTGGTATGTTAACCGGCACATGCTTGGTCAGATAGGATCTGATGCAGACTACTGTGTTTCATTCAGCTTACAAGCTGAATATTGAGGTCTTCAACTAAGGTCCTAACTGATATAGAAGAATTTTGGTAACTGGTGGAGGAACCTTATCTTCAAAGAGTTGTCAGTGTAGCAGAAAAGGGAAGCCGGAATCACATCTCATGTGCCACTCAGGCATGTGACTTTTCTTTCTTGGTATTGACATACAATAACTCTGTTAACATCCCTTAAATTCGTTACACTGTTCATGCTGTATGCCAATTTGACTCAGCTTTCAACACATTTTTATATTGAAATGTTATTATTATGTATTGCTTCATCATTGAAAGAAAAGGATGTTATGTATTTTTTTGAAGGTTTGCAAAACAAACATAAAAAACAAAATCTTTTTTAGTTTATCACCGTGCATTTTGTTTTGCCCAAAAACAAGGACACTGACACTGGTGGTTGATTAATTTGGATTAATATGGTTATATGGACAATAGAACGGTAATGTTTTTTTTAATCAATAACAGCAACTGTTATTAAAGAATCAATATAAAGGTACAGAAGAAGCAAGGGGAGGGGTAGGATCTCTTAACCCTCCCCTAGAAAAATAACAAACAGAATTATAATACAGCCTAAAGGCCAGAACATTTGATCCTTTTCCACCCCCTTGTTTTTTTTTTGATAAACTTTACACCCCTTGTTTAGCAGGAGCATCCATCTGCAAAGGAGTTAGCACTTCTCTTGACTCATTGCAGCCGAATCTCAATATTTTGAGATCAGTGTTTTAAAACGCAGAGGCGTGATGCGAGGCGTTCCACTACCTAGAGGCGTGAGGCGTAAATCAGAACGCAAGAGGCGTAAGCCTCCTTAAGAGGAGGGGGGTTATGAGGAGGATGAAAAGGAAGGGGGGATCTCATTTTTTCTTTATTTTTAATAAAAATCTTTTATATTAAGAAGAATAAAGATGCATAACAGTAGTTCAAAGGGGGGGATCTCAACCAACCTATAAGGCTATCACCACTTTTGAGTCTCCTTCTACAATTAACTTTCCGAGATTCAATTCTTTAGCCTTCTTTAACCCTTCCATTACCACCATAACCTCAGCTCTAAGTGAATCCCCTATACCAATTGGACTTAAAAATATAGCAATAACCTTCCTCATCTCTAAACATTCCTCCGATGCCTGAGGGTGCCGGATTACAATCACTTTTTCCATCAAAGTTCACTTAATAAAACCAGAAGCTGGCAAAGACCACAATGGGCTAATGTTAATTTGAAATAGGGTTGAGTTAGCCACTTCCTTCCAACTCCTCAACAACATATCTGTAGTGACACCCTCAAATAACTCCAGACATTTCAGTCAATGCACCGCCCTAATGCTGAATGCGTCAATGATGTTCTCTTTGCTCCTCTCATTATCAGAATATATGCGTGAGTTCCTATCTTCCCAATAGAATGGTGATGTTTTAGGGTTTTAATTTTAATTTGGATAGATTTTACCTTTGAGCATTGGAATGTGGAACTGAAGTGGACCTTTGTACTTTTGGGCTTTAAATGCATAAGCCATATTCACTTAGTCTTCAAAATGCAAACTTTTTTTTGGTCTAGGTAGGCCGTGGTTTGCCAATGCCTTCATCTGGCCAAGTTTCAAAACATCGATATGATATGTACAATACTAGGGGTGAGCAAATGGGTAGGCTCTACCTGGAAACGAATGGAATCGACCTTGAGTCGGCCTGAACTTCCCTATCCAATCTCTTATAGGGTGTGGTTTGGTTCCAAATTATTGGAACTGACCCCCACCTAGGCCAGTTCCAAGGTTTAGGGCTTTACCCTACTTGAACTTACATGATAAACCAGCCTTGGTTGGCCTTGGTGGAATTGACTTTGGAACCAAATTTGCATTGAAATAAACCCCAAAATACTTTTGTGGATGTAAAGATTTGAGCCCTAGTACTCATGGTTACAAAGGCCATGTTCTCATTTGACCATTGAGTTTACTTAAGTGATTTAATATTTTGTTTTCATTTTAATATTTGGATGTGTATAACAAGTAATATAAAGGTAATATTTATAAAATTTAAATTATAATGATAAGTTCTGAACCATATATTAATATATTATGATGATTTACATATTAAATTATTCAATTTAATCATAAAATAATGTAAGTTTTAAACTGTAAAGTATATTTATTGAAAATCAAGTTTTTAAAGAATGCGTTTCTTTTTTTAAAGGGGGAGAGTAAAGAAAGAGCATGTTCCATGGGTTGACCTTGGAACCACTAAGGCCAAAACCAACCCTAGAACCAACCTTCACAAAGTAAGTTCTAATTCCAAAAGCTTGGAACCAACTCCTACAAGGTAGGAGGTTCCAGGTTATGCCATAGAACTGAATTGACCTATGCTCATCTCTACACAATACATGGTGTATTGCATAAGTATCCAAAGACATGAGCACATGGCATTGATGAATTTGATATACTTTTAGATACTCCCGTGCCGTGATGTATCTCATTATATCAGTGGATACAGATGGATACGAAACATACGTTTACACCAGTTGGTGAACCTGCTTTTTGGATATATTGATCAACTTTTCAACTTTTTCAAAACTTTATCATTATTATGTTGTCTAGCTTAAGCACGGTTGGGATTGTTTAAAACTCAGGAAAAATAAACATAGAAGAATCAAAGGAGATGCTTTTTTATTTAATTATTCATGTTCAATTTTTTGGTAGAAAATCGTTGTCGTTCATGTTCAATTGATACATGTATTATTGGGTTCCAATTGCAAAAATATGTAAAATTGTGGTTAGTTTTGTGATACTTATTAGATTTGTCCATTTTCCCCCAAAAAAAGGAAAATCTGAAAAATATAGAAACAATTTATTTTGTATATGTTTGGCATCAATGCTGCAGATACAACACCGTTTTCTCACTGTCAAAAACAAAACTGTGCTGCTGATGTGTGGGTTGGAAGCACCGTTTTCTGAAAAAACGGTGTCTTTTCTTCTGTTTGGAAACGTTGCTGCTAGATAGGGCGTTTCCTAGAACAACAACAATACTTTCTGTTTGGCACCAGTGTTCCATGTCTGTTTTCAGCACTGATACCCATTATAGGAAGTTCACGTCATTGCCACATCATGTCCTCATTGACAGTAACAAGTTGCAATTTGAGAAAACACCAAATTATGCGTTGCTCCAAACCACGCCTTCTCGATTTCCATGGTGTGGCTTGGAGCACCATTTTTTATGAACAAACAATTCTAAATAAACAGGCATTTCCTAGAGTACCATTTTTTTTCCGGCATGATGCTAATGTATCACTATTTTCTAAAGCAACGACATCGATACCAAACAGATGCTTTATATGCCTTACATTATTTCTGTTAATGATTTGCAAATGTCAAATCCATTAATCCAACAACAAATAATGTCAAAATTGATTTTATTTTCTTAATTTTGGTAACTTATATAAATAAGATAATAAAAATTAAAATAATTATGACAATATTTAGTGACTAATTGAAATTTATGAATTACATATTATATGTATATTAGATATTGTAATGGACTTTATATATTTTTAAACTGAAATGTATTTCTTTAATTTATTAATTAAGAAATTATTCCATAATATATAAGTAAATAAAACATGCTGGGGGGAGAGATGGAGGGGGAACCAAGGAGAACTGGAGAAGCGTAAGTTGGATAAGGGCTAAGGGGAGAAAGGAGAGACCATCTAGACATGGTCATCTTTGATTTAGTATATACTAATAGATGGATCCTCAAGAATTCCAATAAAATCCTCAAAGTTCATAAATACAAAGCTTAAATATAAACCATAAAAGCTTTGATTTGAGCTAGAAATTCTACAATGTTTGATATTAAGTCAATTCCATTCCTTAAACCAAATTACCCATTAAATTTCCAAAAAGCCCAAAGTTCAAATCCAGGAATGAATTGCTAGAACAATCAAAATCCTTAATAGATTCATTACACAATCCCTAAAAGGGAAATTGGCGATGAAACCCTAAACTTTTTAGATAATGCAAACCAAAAAGAGCATTTTGGCCCTCAAGTAATTTGTTTTCTTCGTCCATCAACCATTCGCCCTGAATGATGTTGTTGAACATATAAAGCATTTCAGCCCAACACATCTCAAAGAAGAGTCGTACCAATGAGTGTTTCTGATAAATTGTAATTTATTTTTAAATTTGGTGATTTATAATGAGAAAAAATGACATTTTGGTTCTTTCTTTTCTTTTTGATTAATTTGGATGAAAAGACATTAGGGTAAAAAAATGTCATTTTACGCTTCCATGAAAAATCCTGTAACAAGTAAAAGGATCATTTGTTGAGACATCCCCTATACTATTCTATATTAACTAAAACACCCCATATAGTTCGTGTATTACTAAGACATCATCCCTTATAGTTTACATTAGGTTCACTTACTTCTCTTTCTTTTTAATGGAAGTTCACTTCGACAATTTTAACTTTGATTACCATTTGATGAGATCTAGTAGAAGAAAATGAAAAGTTGAATAGTCTATTTTGCCCTTTTTGGAATGAGGGCAAAAGAAAGCATAGATAGAAGCAAGGTGATTTAGGAATCTTTAAGGAATTGATCTACAATTTCCCACATCACAAACCCATTATGAAGAAACTTCAGAGAATAGAATAACATAACATAAAGCTCTCATGAAGTGAATGCCGCAGTCCGGTGTTTAGGATCAGGGTAGTGGCATACCCTATTAACTAAAATCGCAATCTCCCATAAGAGTAATAATAGAATCCACAACCTGTTTTGAGAAAGGAAATTTCACAAGTTCTCCAAGATTCTACACTAAGACCATGGAAGAGCTCAAAGGAGAAGAATGAAGTTGAGGGCTAACTGATTTAGAGGATGTTTGGTATTGAAGGTGTTTATCTAATGGATATTTTGTACGGTTGTTTTGCTTTAAATGTTTTTTTTTTTTTTATGGCACCACATAAACCAAACAGTAAAAGAACGCCCTTGAAAATGAGAAACATCATTTTTGGTGTTTTTCTAATATAAACGGATTTTATGAAAATCGAGAGACACGTTTATCAATTAAATGATTCAACTAAACATTGTTTTTGGCAATTTTCTATTAAATTCCTATGTGGCACTAAGTTGGCACCGGTGCTCCGAAAAACACCATTGATATCAAATACTATCTTAGATGTTAAGAGCATCAAACAACAATTATAATGGACATGTACACATCTCTCAATTCAAAATAGAGATGTGTGACTCCAAATCACGGCGGGTAGAGAGTGGATAGGAGAAGTGAGCAGGAAATCCCGAGTGAAAATATACACCCAAATAGA